AATATCCTTGGATGAGCTGCGCAAGCTCTCTGTCTCCAATAGGGAAAGCTATCATACATATATCATGGTGTTAGGCTAAATGGAAAGGTACATACATAGACCTCTGAGCTGTCCAAGATGCTGCTCAGTCTTTGTTATTATGGCCATTGTCTCTGAGCAAGGAGAATGTGAATCTCGGCATGTTCCCTGCCCTGATCAAGAATAGAGCAGAAGCTTGGCAGGGCTGCATTGGTCCGGGTACCAAGCTTTTAGTGGAGTGACACTCCAGGAGTGGGGACTTGACACCAGCTCCACCCTCAGACTCAGAAGCAGTTAAGTAGACCCAATGGTAACCACCTTAGTAACCACTTGCAGAGCAAGCTGCATGCTTGATGATCTGCCTGCTGAACCTGAACACAGGTGCAGCATTCTCCTTAGCAGGGGAGAATGGGTGTCCTGGTTTTTGGGTGACCATGCTTTCTGTTTCTGTTTGAGATTCCTTTATGAAATGAAGTGATCCTTTGGTACCACTAACCAAGACTGAAGGCCTAGCAAATGTTCCCTTTCTCCCAAAGCTCTGGAAAACTCATGTCAAAAGAGGAACTTGTTGCATGGACAGCAGAGGGTCCTAGGTTCTCTGGTCCCTTCATCTGATTATTCTCTCCTAGAAACTCCAGTAAGCAAAATGGGCTTAGAGGACAGAACCAGATGGAAGGACAGCGCCACTAGGAGTTAAGAGTCTGGACAAAATAAGGGTCCAAGGAGCAGAAACCAGTGTGGGGTAGTAGAGGCAGTCAAGAGGGAATGCAGGTGCAAGGGAAGAAAGCCCAAAGCTGAGGAGCACAGAGATTCGGTTCCAGGAAAAAGACAGAAGATCCCTGTGGCTCAGCCGGGGCTGGACAGGCTTGTTGCCACTCTATGCGTGCTGTGACCTTGGCTCCCAGGTTCCCAGAATAACTGGGGAGAACTACAAGTGCACGTGAAGGTCCAGTTCTGTCAGCAGCAGAAATGGGAGAGTGAGAAGAGGAAGAAAGCTGGGTAGATGATTAAACAGACCATTCACCTGCAAAGCCCAGCGTGCGTGGCAGCTTCCCCTGCTCCCGAGGAGGCCCAGGATGTTGCATCTTTTCTGCTTATCAGAAGCCCACGAACAGGTATTCTTGGTTCTCTTCTCAAATTACTGTTGCTCTGGGATCTCATATCCATACCAAACAAGATATAAACTCAAAAGAGAGAATTGTTGAGCCATGTTGTGTGGCTTTTCCCCAGGGACACATGGGCAAACATCTCAACCTAGATGAGGCAGAGATGGCAGGCCAAGTAGCCATTCCACCCAGGTCTAGCTTGGTTAAACAGTGAGTTTATTTGGCTTAGTTACAGTGTGGATGGCCCCTAAATTGTTGCAGCTCTGGAAAGTTTCAGCCCAGTATGAACGACAACTCCTCCAGAGCTGCGCAGCCAGAGTCCCCTTCCCCCAGTTCACTCTTATCACTTCCTGAGACCACAAGACCCTGTGCAGAATGACTTACAGCTGGGAGATACAAGAAGGAGCGGCTGAAATCTCAGGTGGGTGTCTAATGACCTTCCCCACCTCCTCCTTCTAGGAGGGAAGTTTGATCTTGAGGGTTGCTTGCAGTAGTCACAGCTGTGCTGGTGAAGGTGCTAGAGGGCTGTTACTGAGGCAGGTGTTTCTACAAGTGAGAAAAGGCCTGCTCACAGTTCTTCCTGCTCTGGAGCATCAACCCTATGGCTTAACCTGTACTCAGAACAATGATAATCATAGCTTCATTTATTGGGAGCTGACTGTGTGCCAGGCATGATAGGAAATGCTCTGCACGCACTGTCTCATTTGATCCTCACAACAGTCTTATGAAGCGGTCAACCATTGACACCTGAAATTCTAGGGAGCTCTACTCGGGGTACTACATGTTACTGGGGATATTAGAGTCCCCTCTTGGGGTTCTTGGTCTCGTGAAGAAAATAATTAAGAAAGGACTTAGAAGGAAGCTTTAGGAGAGAAAAAAACTGACCAGCATATGACAACAGCAGTTGACACGCTATGTGGATGGGGAAATGGCCTAGTGTAATCTCCAGATGAAGAGCTGCAGGCAATCAATGGCTACTGAGGAAGGGAGAGCCAGTTTTCTCCAGGGAGCAGCTCCTGAGAGGTTATTTAATTCCAAGGGGGCAGCCCCAACACAGGTATATATGAACATCACCAAACAGACTCAGTGTATCATGTGTGTGTGTTATCTATAAATGTACATATGTATAATGTAACAATAATAATCAAAGAAGAGGAAAAGAAATTGAGATGGGTGGGGGGACATAGGAGGAGTTGGAGGGAGGAGTGGAAGGGCTGGGAATGATATAAATACAACACTCATATATAAAATTCTCAAAACATAAAACAAATGTATATAAAAAAGATTCTGGGACAGGGGACAGAAAGAATATTAGTGCATCTCTCAACTCTCACCAATGAAGCTTCCTCAGAAACAGATGGTGCACTAACTCAGGAAGCCACAACTGGCCAAAGTGCAGAGAATAAGACTACCAAGTGCTCATCCCTGAATAGGACACCCATATCAAACTTCTGCTACCCAAGGATCAGGGACCATTCTGGAAGAGGGGGCAGAGAGATTGTAAGAGCCAGGGGTGGTGGATGAGTTTTCCAGACAGCTGGTCAGCATTCATATGAACTCACAGCAATGGTGACAGCATGTACAAACTCCAGGTAAGCTCAGGCCAGACAAAATCCCAGCATAGATGTGGGGAGGTGGGTAAGAAACCCTAACCCTGCTTGAGGAGGCACTGGCAACTTCTAGCTGCCAGGAAGGGGAGTGTTGGGTCTCTTTAAGGGTGTGATGCTAAGTAGGTTAACCAGGCTCCAAATGGATGAACTCACATAGGACATTTGAGGATAAAAATTTGACTCAATAGGCCTTAATATTTATGAGAGAATACATGAAATCTGGCAGAGGGTGCTATAAGAGGGGTGCAGAGAGAGAGGAGGGGGTCTAAATATAAAAATATATTCTATGAAATTCACAAAAATTAAAAAAAATAGTAAGAAAGGTTCTATCTCAAGATTGTCTATAGGGTCTTCTAAGCTAATGGATTCTGATTTCTTTGTGGCTTTTGGCTGTATGAAGAGCACAGGGTAAAAATGACCTTGTTTTAAATATGTCTCAAAATTCCACACAGCAGAATGTCTAATGTGAAAACATGTAAGAGTGAAGGAAATAACCTTTTACCATTCAAGTTTTAATTCTTCAATGACACAAACACAAACAGAGAAGTGCCACTCCACTCCCTCCCCACAACCAGCTGGTACAGAGTGAGTCCCAAGAACAGTGCAGTCCTCCTAGGATCACACTGGGAAAGCATTCTGAGAGCGAGACCCCCCTACAAACTCTCCAGGTGGCAGTGAATATCGAGAATGACACTGTTTTCTTTCTTTCCTTCATTTCTTAGACAGAAAAGTTGGGTTACATCTTTCAACCTAGTTTAAAGAAACAATAATCCAAAAGCAATCTCTCTCCCTTCTGCCACCAAATCCCACCTGTACCACCCACTCCTGAAGCTGTACCAGGTTTACAATTACAAAGACTCAGACTTGAGCAGTGGGAGGAGTAGGTGTGGTTGAAATAGACGCACAGTAGTGTGCAAAGATAAAGTCTCATATGGAAAATTAGTCATGGTATTTCAAAGCCAGTAAATAACATCCTAATGTTTTTCAAAAAATAAATCAATGGGGAAAAAGGATTTGGTATTTCAAGTCTGGATTTTCATAAATTAAGTAATGCAATAGAGTCTTTAAAATCAAAACAAAACCAGGTCAGGGAGCTGTAAATCTTGGCAGCTGCCAGGAGGGAGGAGATGGAGAAGAGGAAGAGGGAATCTGTGACATTTGGAATATCAGTCACATGGTACAAGACAGGTTGGGATAACTCAAAAAAAAAAAAAGAAAGAAAGAAAGAAAAAGAGAGAGAAAGAAAGCCCAGTGTCCAGCAAAGCATGCTTAGAAAAGAGACAGAAGGAAAAGTTACGCTTTTCTAAGCAAATCAGAGAATCGGGCAGACTTAAAGAAGAGATTACTCCTATCTTTATAGCAAGCCTTAAGGCGAATCTGCTGATCCCTTAGCTAGGTGGTTGATGGACCAATTGGAATGCTAGGTTTTCATTCAAGCCAAGGGTAGATTCTATTCTCTTGACTAGAAGTAGCTTTCCCTTAATGGGCCACTAACACAATGAGAAAACTGAGGGTCGGGTGAGTCCCAAGCTAGTAAGGTGGTCATTTAAATGCCAAAATACTAACCCAGGACAGCGACTTAATGTTCATATTCATAGACTTAATGCCTATGTTCAGAAATATTATGTTAGCCTACCAAACTGAAGCAATCCTAAGTGGGAAAGGGGGGCAGAGATGCTAAGGAGTGGGTCTTAGAACTGCAAAAGGAGCATGCCCAGCTTCCTCCCGAGTATCTCCGCCTGACCTCACTGCTTGCATCTTCCCTCATTTTCCCACATCTGGTGGTGCTGCTGACATAACAGCTGCTTGGCAAAACCTTAGCACATTAGAGAACTCACTGACCTGTAAGACTGGCTTCCTGAGGGCCAGCCATCTGTAGCTACGGTAACAGGTGCAGCCACTCTTCCCACCAGCTAAACCCTTCATCATCTGTTTACCTGCTTGATCTTCAAACTGAATGGAAAAGTACAATTTTCCACCTATTCTTAAGACACTTCTGAGGGATAAGTACACACTCAGTTATTAGGAGACTCATAGGACACACCTTTGAGAGAAGCACTTACCCACCTGTGACTGGATCTTATGGTCTCTGGAGCCCTTAAGAGCAAGCATTCTCTTCCTGTTCATGCCTGACTGCTCTTCAGCCCACAGTGACTCCCTGTGGTTCCCTGTGGGACCACGAGGCTAGAAGAGGCCTCTTCCCACCGAGGTGGGTGAAGAGCAGGGATCCCACTAACAAAAGAGCATGACCACACAAGAAATAGCATCCTTTTTTCAAACTAATGTATTTATTATTCACTCATAAAAAAGAACCTATCTTTAGCTTTGAAAGCATGACATAAAATAAAAAGGCAAAGAAATGGAAATCCTCAGTTGGAAGTCAGCAGAAGCAACTCATGTGGCGCCATGGGCACACAGGGCGCGCTTCGGGCTGTAGCAGGTGGCACAGATCAGCGAGAGCTGAAGAAGTCCTGCCAATCCAGTGGCTGGCCACCTCCAAACGCTGCTTGGTTCCCCAAGGTTGCGTGCTCAGCATGCATGGGAAAGGAGCCAGCCCTCTCTCCTCTGTGTTCCCTTCCCTCTTCACCTGAACACCTACCAGGGTGGGCAGCAAGCTTAGAGGCTACTCGGTCTAGGGCGTTTGATGGTGCTGTAGTTAGAACAGAGCATGTCCCCCGCCAGCGTTATTTCCAACCTTTAAAAAGGGAACTGCTCAAATCAGCTGAAGCTAAGCACCAGCTCTATTTTGGGTCCGTTATCTGCTGGAGGCAGAGCTTCATGTAGGAGTTCTTATTGCGGATTTCGATCACGGCGTCCCTAACCAGCTCGATGAACATCTGTGGCCAGAGCTTCTGCAGAGCTTCATTTTTCATGTTGATTTCGGTGGCTTCCTTCACGAGGTCTTCCACGTACATCTTGCAGAATTTCTTTTTGTCCTTTATTTCCTAAAAAAAAAATCCAAAAGTCAAAACTATGGTTAGCTGACCTAGAGGAGCCTGAAGTCATCTACTCTGACTCCGTCTCTCTCCTACCCTCTTCCTTCAGGACAGAAATTCTTCCCAGCAGCTCCCGGTTCTGCTCTAGTAGAGAGCAACAGGGCCTCGCCACTTCCCAGTCCTCTGCCTCTGTTGGGCACCCTAGTTTCCACTGGTTAAAGTGCTGGGTAGGGCACTGACCATTCTGACTGGTCTGAGCTTAGTTAATATCCATAAAATGCTTTTATTCACATACTTTGAATTTACTCTCTAGCACAGGAAAACATGGAGCATTACACTATGCCCAAGAGCATTTGACAATTGACAGACATGCACAAGGAGGAAGAGAAGCATGGGAGCCGGGACCGCGCCACACCACCTAAAGTCCCTCCCAGTCAGTCAAAGCCCGCGTCCGAGGGCCCTCCCGGTCAGTCAAAGCCCGCGTCCGAGGGCCCTCCCGGTCAGTCAAAGCCCGCGTCCGAGGGCCCTCCCAGTCAAACCCTGCGTCTGGCAGTCTGGGGACAAACACCACAGCAGGAACCTGGGGCCAGAGGACATTTGGGCATTTGGCTTCGGTTTCATCAGGGAGGCCTACAGCTGTTTTGTTGGGGTTGGGGGCGGTGTTCAGTGGTAGAGCTATGCCTCGTATGCTTGAGGGCTCTGGGTTTGATTCCCAGTGCACACATACAAAAAAGCCATTTGGCTGAATGGAAGAATTCAGCATTGACACTGGCTCCTGAGATTTTTGGATGGAAAGTCAATGTAGTCCATTTGATGATCAGAATTAGAACACAAGTAACTCACATTGATGAAGAAGGAAAGAAAGAGTGTTTATAACCAGATATGGGGAAGCTGTCACTTAAACCCCAAACTCAAAACACCAAAAATAATTCTAAGATGAATTAAAGAGTTAAATTCAAAATATATAAATACTACCCTTAAAATTATACTTTGTAAAGATTTTGAAAAAGGAAAATACATTTCAACATTAAATATAAAAGTAAGGAAATCTGGGTAAGGGCTGTTATGAGTGTGTGCAGTTGTTAACATTCAGTAAGACTTACATTTCAGTATATAAATTTTACCTCGCATGAAGATACTGTATCAACTATTGAACTCTAATTAGTGACATGCATATGGAATTATTTCAGGAGCGGCACACTAATATCTGCAATTATTCTGAATTGAATTTAAAAAAACCCATCTGAGTTGGATGGACTGACACAGCTATGTGATGAAGTCAATACCCTGTATGGAGGATGGTAATAGAAAACAGCTAGGGAGATTGCTCAGTGGGTAAGAGCACTCGCTATGCAGGAATCAGGGCCTGAGTTCAAATTGCCAGCACCCATGTAAAAAGCAGAGCATGGCTGTGTGTGCCTTATAAGCCTGGCATTGGGGTAGAAGACAGACAGGTCCCAGGAAGTCACTGGCCTGCCAGACTAGCAGAATGGTGTGTCTGGCTCAGTGAGAGTCCCTACCTCAAGAGAGTAAGAAGAGCAATACAGGAAGATGCCTGATGTCTTACGTCTTATGTCCTCTGGTCCACATGCTGTGGGGATGGGTGTACACATCTGCACAGTCATGTGTATATATACTACACACACTTGCATACATACACACTCATGTGAAGGAGGAGGAGGTAGGATTGTAAGTATGTTTACTGTACTGTATTGTGACATCTTTTTAGGACTGGGCAATGGCTCAATGGCTGAAGTGTTTGCTAAGCAAACAAGAAATATGGAGTTCGATTCCCAGAACCCATGTAAATGCCAGGTGTGTGTGGCAGCTTGCCTATAATCTAGCTTCAGAAGGCAGGAACAGGGAATTTCCAGGGCAAGTTGGCTAGTGCAACTACCACACTGGTGAGCTCTGGGTTTGACTGAGAGGCCCTGCTTCAATGACTAAGATGAAGAGTGATGGAGGATGATTCCTGACAACAACCTCAGGCCTCCATATGTACATGCATGCACATGCACACGTGTACAAGTACCCTCACATGTTCCCACACATGCAAATATACATATATACATCATACACACATGAAAATAGAAAAAATAGGTTCTTAATTAATGTAAACAAATGAGTCTAATTTATACTCTTTTCCCTAGCAGAGGTGTATTTTGGAAATTTTCTTATGACATATAAAAATCTCAGAATAAACACTCAACATTAGGAGGTCAACAACTGCTAAACCAAAAAGTCATGGTTTGAACTATTATGAAAATATGCAGCTTGGGGTCAGTGGGATGGCTCAGTGGGTAAAGGCACCTGAGTTTGGTCTCCAGAACCAACATGGAGGGAAGGAAAGAACTGACCCCTAGGAGTTGCCCTCTGACCTCCACAGGTACGCTGTGGCAGGTGTGTACTCTTCACACACAGAAGTAATTGTAAGAAAATACACTTAAATATGCCATTTATGGGTGATGGACAGTAAGGGGTTCCAGTGGTGACTTCTCTGATGAACCTAAGTTCTCAGGCCCCACAACACTGGGATGCAGTCCCTGCACTAAGCTGCTGGCTTTGAAGACAGCACTGGCTGCTCCCTCTAACACCCAGCAACTCCCAGCAAGAAGTGTGAAGTCCTGGAGCTCAGTAACCACAAGGAGCGATATTCCATACTAGGTGCTAAACAAGTAAAGACACAGAGTGTGTTCATGGAGTGTTCACTTACACATAGATCTCTGGGGTTTTAAAAGCCCCAGGATTTTGAATGAAAAAGACAAAGTTTGGGGCTGGGGAGATGGCCCCATGGGTAAAGCATGAGGAACTGAGTTTGGAGCCATGGGATGTCTATAAAACTGGCTGTGGTAACATGTGGCTGTCCTCTCGGTATTCCAGTGAGATGGGAAGACAGGGCAATCCCTGGGAGCTCCAGGGACAGCGAGCCCAGTACATGCAATGGTGAGCCACACACCTGGCCTCAAAGTGGAAGGCAAGGACTGACACCTGAGGCTGTCCTCTGACCACGACACATGCTGTGGCACACCTGAGCCTCTACTCACTCGCACTAAAATGTACACACACACACACACACACACACACACACACACACACGACAAAGCTATTATTAAGAGTTCATGAATTTTGTTTTGAGATGGGCTCACTATGTAGGCCAGGCTGGCCTCAAACTCACAGAGATTTTGCCTGCCTCTGCCTCCTGAGTGCAGGGATTAAAAGTGTGCACGACCATACCTAGCCTATGAATTTTGACAATAATTTAGGAATAATAAAATTAAATTCTTAAGGGATGTGTTTTGTCAAATTATTTATACACATTTACACATAATGTAACTGGAGTAGTATAATTTTTGATGCTTTAAAATTTCCTGCTAGTTTCTTCCATTGTTTCTCAGTGAACGTGCTGATACTGTTCCTGTTATAACACTCCTTAATTTACTATGCTTGAAGGCAGTTTTACCTCATCATGCCCCTACTCTGGGCAGCATGCCCTGTGACTCATCCTGCCTGCTCAGTGACTGTGTCCTCATGTGTCAAGGAGCTGCTGCTGAGCATCCCTGTCCATTCTCGTGTGCCTGTTTCTTTTTATCCCACAACATTACCATGGGATTCATGAAGCAAGTATTTTACAGGTTCAATCTCGGTGAGGCAAATTCTATCTAATATTGTATATTTTATTAAACTATAAATATGTTAAAAGATGATTTAGAAAAACACAAGTCAACAAGGGATTAGTTATAGAGCAATTTTAACTGAAATGGTGCTTGTATTAGGATCTAATTCCTATCCTTCTATAAGTGGGAACAAGGTCAAAAGAAATTGAGATACTTGATCAGGATTGGATATCATTTGTAAAATTAAAACATCCTCAGTGAAAACTCTAGGCTACTCCTTTAAGAACTGGAAATTTAATTGGAGGGTGACCTACAAAATATGTTTAGCTAAAAAAGTAAAATAGGGGCTGGAAAGATAGCTCACTTAGTAAAGTATAAGCATGGAGACCTGAGTTCAATCTCTAAAATCCACATAAAAACCAACCATGGTGGCATATGCCTATACTCCTACTGCTAGGGAACTAGAGAGAGATGGATCCCTAGGGTTCCAGCTGCAGGCCAGTGAGAGACCACAGCTCTCAAAACACAAGTGGATAGTGTTCCTGAGGAGCAACATCCGAAGTTGTTTTCTGGCCTCAAACACTCATGTGCATATACACGTGAACATGTGCACAGATGTATGCATACATACAAAAAATGAAATAAAATAGTTAAGTGCTGAATGCATGACCATCCAGAAGTCCAATACAGTCAGTGTTCAGAGAAGGATTCTTGGCACTGGGTGGTCAAGAAGTCTGCAGGATGCACAGGGAACACTGTGGGAGCACGGTCAGGAGGTCGCAGTCTAAAGACTATGGTTAGCAACTCACTGTGACCCTGAATAATTCCCCGAGCTTCCAGTTTTCCTCACCTGTCGAGGCACAGAACTGGATTCTTTACAGCCCCTTAAATCTTTTTTAGATGAGTTAGGAGAATGGATGGATGGCGAGATTCAAGCAACAGAACTACAACGTGTAGGTCTGCTTAGCCTGATTTGTGAGCAACTCACCTCAATTTTCTCAGCAACTCAGTATGGACACGAGAGAGAGAGAGAGAGAGAGAGAGAGAGAGAAGACAGACTGAGCACTGTGCTGCAGTGGTTTAAGTATTTTTCAAGACATGGGGAGCTTGGTGGAATGCTGGGCTGCAAGTCAAGAGAGGGTGATTAAGGGAGGGTGGGCAAGGTCTCTCAGGTAATACGTGGTAATCAGGGGCTCAAGTCCAAGTCTCCCAATTGTTGGCTTGATGCTCTTCCCAAAATATCATGCAGGTTCAGATTTCTTCCTTTGCCTTTGAGTTTTTGCAAAACAGGAGTCAACACTTCCTGATGTTCCCCCTTCGCTGCTTCTTGATTGATCAAGCCACTTTAATCCAGAATTCACTTATTTAATTCTATTGATGCTATTTCCATTAAAAATGGCCCTGATTGCCAAATTTATAAGAAAATTTCCCTTTATAGTTGGTACACTTAGAATGTTCAAAAATCATAACCCATCCAACCAAGGTCATAAAGATTTCCTCTTATTTTTTAAAAAATAAGAACTTCAAAGTTTTAATATTTTATACAGAGGCTTTTATTTGAACTGGAGTTAATGTGGATGGGTTCAGTATGCTTTTCTGATTGGATAGTCCATTTCCTTGGTATTATCTATTAAACAGTCTGTCCCCACTAGTTTGCAATGCCTTCTTTCTGCACAAGTTTCCCTCATATTAACAGTACAGTTCTGGCTCTCTGCTTTGTTCTCCAGTCTGTTCATTCTCATACTGCCTTAACTGCAATGCTTTTATTATAATTACCTGATATCCAGCAAGGCAAGTTTACTCTTGAGTAGTTTAGGTCCTATGCTCTATGAGATAACTTTTAGGGTTTGTTGGTGAAGTTCCAGAAATAACCCTGTCCAAACCTGAATTAGAATTGTCTTGTATTTATGATTGGATTTGGGGAGAATTAAGATTTTTTATTTATTATTTTTATGTGTATGGGTGTATTGTCTGCATGTAAGTGTACCTATGAGGTACAATGCCTATGGAGGTCAGAAGAGGGTGTCAGAGTCCTCTGGAACTGTAGTTACAGATGGTTGTTAGCTGCCATGTGGGGGCTGGGAATCTAAACTGGGTCCTGTGCAAGAGCAGCCAGTGCTCTTAATTGTTGAGCCATCTCTCTAGCTCAGAATTAAGATTTTTATAATGTAGAATGTTTTGGTCTACTAATATAAACTATTTAGTTCTATAGAGACTTGCAACAAAATCCGTTTCTCCAAATAAAGGTTTATCTATTCGTGCGCGCGTGTGCACGTGCCAGTGCGTGAGATATATGTAGGGAACTGAAACCATGGCCTTGTCATGTTGGCAAGTGCTCTACTCCTGAGCTTTAGGACCTGGCCCTTGCTTGCACTAGAAAACCTTAAAGCAGAATCTGAACATCTGTTAGGATTGCTGGAATGGGTTCAAGCTCTAATCCTTAGAGCTCTATGGATTCCAAAGACATACTTCCAAACTGAGAGCTGGGTCAAAGGGCAAGAAAAGAACATCTGATTAAACAAAGCTCTGAAACCTTCGACCCTACTTTATTTCAACCTAGCTTTGCTGTTCAGCACACCGGCTTTAGACACAACAGAACCTCAAGGAGCTCACAGCTGTTAGAAAAGTGTGAGTGCCACCTGCCTGGCTGTTTCACTTCTAAATTATACATCAGAGTGAGGAGATGCAGAGATTCCTTTCCCTGTATACACATACCTGTGTGAGGCGTGTAGAACTATTTCTTCTCTATCTCTGACTGCAGAGGTATGCATATAGAGCTAGATCATCTCCATATTTGTTTCTATACACGACCTGCCTGAAGAACCATGAAGATACACCGGCATCTCTACGTAGATCTGTCTCCTCACACTGCCATTAGATGCTCAATAAATGTGTCTGCTCTTTCTTGTTCTTTGGCCTGTCCCCTCAAAAATCTGCTCAGAACCTTACCTCTCTTGTCATGCAGGTGCCTGGCTTTCCCACGAGCTCCATCAAGGCGGGCTCTGAATTCTTTACTTCTTTGTGCCTCTTACCCACTGTAATGTTTTATTCCCTTAATAAACCTCACATAAACATAAGATCGTTCTCCGTTTTCCTGGCTAAGTAGCTCTATTGAGAACAAATGAAGTTGTGTGAACAAGAAACTCCCTGGGCATGGTGGCGCATGCCTTTAGTCCCAGCAGAGGTAGGCAGATCTCTCTGAGTTTGAGGCCAGCCTGGTCTCCATAGCAAATCCAGGCTAGCTGCGGCTACAGGGAGACCCTGTCTCAAAAAGACCAAAAAAAAAAAAAAAAAAAAAGGAAAAGAAAAAGAAACTCATGGTAGAGAATGAAATATGTATTAAAACTTCTGCTGTGTCCTTTGCTACTCTCTCCCTCTCTCCCTCCCTCTCCCCCTCTCCCCCTCACCTTTCCTCTACTTTTTTTCTTAATTTAGACAGATCAGGAACCTTGGTCCTATTTTGGTCCAGATTTTGATGCTGATTTCTTTCACATAGTCCTTTGTACTGAGATGGAGATATCAAACCTAGGTCTGTTCCTTTTAGGGCCTGACTTCTTCCTGTTTCCTCTCTCCCTACTGACCCCAGTGTTATGTGTAAGGAGGGTGAAATGCAGCCCCCCCGCCCCTCCAACACCAAGCCATGTGGACTACATCCAACTGCCAGGCCCCTGGGAGCAGTGGTACTATACCTCTAGCTTTTCATTGTAAAACTCTCTTGTGGCATAGTTCAGCATGGCACGGTTTGTGCTCTCTCCTACAGGTCTTTTGCTGTCATTACTATCTTCACTGACAATACCAGGTTTCTTCCCTTTGGTTTCTAGTAGGTATCGGAATTGTTTTTTCCTGGAGAAAGAAAAAGCAACATGGAGTTATTTACAGGCTTTTACAAAGTATGTCCAGCTTCTGCTGATTTAGGAGGGTAGCATACGAGCCTGAGAGGGTGGGGTCCTACTTCCATTGGTGTAGTGGCTCTGATCTCAGCAGACAGCCAGAGAGTGCCGACTTCTGGCTTCCCAAGGCTCCAGGACAGATCTGGCTTTGGCAGGCTAAGGCTGGGATCTCAGCAGACGGACCACCAGAGAGTGCTGGCCCCCCTCTGGCCTCCCTCAGGCATAGGGTTGATAATGCAACTCTCAGGACTGCCTGAGAATGCCTGAATCCTGCCTCCACATGGTGAAGGAAGCCAGAGTGTACCTGACTGGAAACTGAATTGGGCTTCTGTGGGTACTCCTGAATAGCTGAACTGAAGACATCAGTTCTCTCCAAATTAAACCTGAGAGAATCTGAACCCTGTACCAACCAGCTTTACATAACCAATAAAGAAAGGATCTAGGCACCACAATAACACAAACAGAAGCATACTTCAACTTAATTCTCATATCAGAATCATAAACAACAAAAGAAATTCACATGCCAAAATCACAACAAAAGAATAATAAAATGGAAAGCCAAAACACTATGTCCCTACTAAACTCCAACAATCCTGTAGAAGAGCAGGAGAACTCCTTAGAGATAACCCCGGACACTGAATTTAAAAGCACAGTCATAAACATGATCAAGGAATTCAATGAATTTAACAAACACACGAACAAACAAATCAAAGAACTAAAGAAGATAGGGGTAAACTTCTGAATGAATTAACAAAAGAGATAGAAATATTGAAG